GTTGGACTCGATGATCTTAGAGGTCTTTTCCAACCTGAATGATTCTATGATTCTAAGAGCTCCAGGCACAAGACTCCCGTCTACAACCCGGCCCTCCCGTGGAGGGGCACATCCCTCCCCTCCAGCCAGCTCCAGGGGCAGGACCGGGAGGAGGTTTCCTGCTCCGAGGGGGCTGCTCAGCAGTGCCCACCACCAAGGAAGCTCCCGGCACAGCCGGCACTTTGGTTAGCAGGCTCAGGGGCGGGCATTCACAGCAACCCCAGGTTAGTCTTTGCAGGGACGAGGTTTGTGCTACCCGAGCGTAAGGAGCAGCCGCGCGCTGGAAGCGAAGCCGAGGCCCCTTTAGGCGGGAGGGCGAGGGAAGACGGTGCGGTTACGCAGCGCCCCATCGCCGGAGCAGGCGTCTCCGCTGCCAACCGTTTGCTGTCGGGGTAAGAGCAGGAGGCCCAGCCCGCCGCGGGCGTCCTCTGTGCCAAATCTCAAGCCACGCAGCTCGAGGGGGGCCCATGCCCGCTCGGGAGGGGGAGGCATCCCACCCCAAAGGGGTGCTCCTGCAGTTCGAGAGTGGAGGGCGTCTGCTTGCAGCTTGCCCAACGCGCATGCGGGACGCGACACCACGGAAGGGCCGAGGGCCAAGGAGCCCCGCGAGGCCCCCGGCCGCAGCCGGAGCCCCAGGCGTGGGCAGGCGGCTCGTAAATCCTTCGGCAGCGAGCGCGCTCACCGCCCGGGCGCCTGCGAGCTGCAGTCCCACGGGTCAGCCGTCGTCTCAGCGAGGGGAGACGGCCGCCAGACCTCGGCTGCTGCGAGCTCCTGCCCGGCCGGGCTCTCCCTGCTCCAGGGGATGCTCGGGGAGCCCCCAGCCCCCCCGGTCACAGCCACGAGGCCTCTGAGGGGTCCCTGGGCAGCTCAGGCTGCGACTGCGGGGGCAAACCAAGCCGGGCAGGGAAATGGGGCTTTTCCAGCGTCATTTCCCAAGTGCTAAACCCACACCACGTCCAAGATTGACGCTGCCGTAAAGCATCCCACCTCCGGCCACATCTGGACGGCGCTTTCTGGGAGCGCAGCCCCCCTCCTCCCGGCACCAGCCGTTCCTGCCGGCTGGGCGAGGAGCTGAACCTCGGTTAAAGAGGGATGGACAGAAGGAATGGGGTATCCCAGCTCCCCCCCCAAATCCCCTCTCTCCAAGGACAAGGTATCACAGGAGCAACGGTCCTGTGTCAAGGAGCCCTGGATGCTCTCGGCAGCCGGTCAACTGCCAGTGCGCTGCCTGCGGCGTGTGCCACGGCCACAACAGGAAGG